TCAGCCCCGGGCCCGTCTCCGCCCGACGTTCAGGCCCCGTCGTTGCCAAAGCAAGGCAAGCAACGACGGGCTGCGCACCCCTGCCGCAGCGCAGGCGAGCGTGAAACCAGTCTGACCGTTTCAGTCAGATTAGACGGGCACATGATCTTAAAAATGCCAGTTACAGAGCTCAAATACGAATACGGGTTAGGTTCTCAGTCCTGCAAATGAGAAGTAACCCTCGCGGGAAAAGATTTCGTGCGAGGTAAAAATCTCAGAGACGGCGCAGCACATGAATGAACGGTATATGAACCAAGTTCATGCTCGTTGCCAGGTTTCAGTTCCCTTGCTTTTAAAGACAGTTGTTTGATGTAGTTAACCCTCTTCAGTTGACAAAATCAAAAACAACTTGCAAAAGAAAATACTCACGACTAGTGCACACTCCACGAGCAAATCTGTGCTGATGTCAGAGCAAAACTTTACTGTTAACACACATCCCCTAGTTCAGTGACTCCAGGATCCACAAAAGATGAAATCAGAAACCCAAATGACAACTGCAAGTTTTTGTTCTTCACGGTGGAAAACAAATCAAGACATTTTCAGCCCTTACAACTGGGAGCTGACAAGAGTACTCCGTGTGTACGCCTGCCACTAGCAGAACACCACTGAAGCCAGAGACTGGCAAGCAAATATTGTTTGTACAGCAGCTCCCGCTGACACAAAACTATACCTGTTCAATATACTAGTAATAATTTATTTTTTTTTTTTAACTATTGAAGGTTGAGCAGGAAAATAATTCTTTTCATCTGCTTTCCTCCTTTCCTCAATTTCAAATCCTGAACTTAGTGAAAAGAGCTGGTTCCCTGGCCAGATCCCAGATACAATGTCAATCACCCAGAGCTCTCATGAGATGGACACAGGGAATTTAGTTACTACATTACCACTACATGTAAAGTAGGTGTGATGTTTAAGACATTAAAACTGCTGCAAGGTTCAGTTGCTTACAGAAAGAAATATTGAATATAAATAAGTACATTATTTGTATAAATACTTCTTCAAAAGGCTAAAGTTAGAGATGCCAGATGGAGATCTGGTGCAATACTCCAGAAACGCAGTAACATTTCCTGTACATGCTGTATAAAAATGGTAAACATGACTGAATTGATGACTCCGAATATTTGAAATGCTTCTAGGAAAGGTCACAATTATGTTTTGTCTGAATATCACTGAATATATTATCTATGGTTAAATGTATTTGTTACAACTAAATCATTAGCTTTCATTCTGCATTAAAGCAAATTTCACAGTATTCACATCGTTATCTGGTATTTAGCACTCCACCTCCAGTTTGAGTAGAGAGAGCACATGTGAGAAAACGCTACTGTATCAAATCTCTTGCTGCTTACATTAGGCACCATTCTCTTCCTTTTATTTAATATATTTCTAGTTCCACATTACCTCAAGAATTTCCACAGATGGACAGATGCAGAGAAAACTAACAGTGGCGTTGCTGTGTTGAACAGTTTTGCCTCTTCAACGTTAAAGAGCTAAACGTCCTAGAAATCCTCATTAGTCACACTTATACTGAAGTTCAAAGAATTAAAATCATTAACAATGATGTGTAAAACTGTATAATGGTATAAACTAATCTGCTCTATGGCTTTTAGCACAGTAAGTTACTAAATTGTCATTTGTGAGGCTGGTAACCCTGCAACTTTATAAAAACATGAACGATTGATCAAGCGATAGTTGGTTGTATGGCACATCTAAAGGTGCATTTGTGCAGTCACAGCTGTGTATGCATACAGCCACTGTTCCACAGCACAGCAAATGAGCCTTTAAGAGGTCTCCCAACCCCACAGGGCACATTACTAACAGCACAGAAACCGGCTAGTTAGTATTAAACTTGTGCATTTTTATACCTGTATACAGGACTTGCAGTAAATTCTGGACATACGCACAAAACATCTGTGGATACTGTGGGAACTCAAGGCATTTTCTATATACAATAAAAACAAGTATTTAGGGGCAAAGAGCAGCAGTATTTACTGACCATATGATAAAAGTGCATTTATAAGTGAGCATGAATCAGCCTGGAAGCTCACTTGTTGAGTCAGATGGATCCTGTACTGACACAACTATAACTAAGCAATCACACATCACTCTTCCTGCCAGTCTTAAGGGTAAATTCAGCTTTCAGCCAGTTAGTATGTGCAGATTTATGTTAAAGAGAGTGGAAACAACAATTAGCAACTTATTTTTCGTATTACAGAGTCAAATCCACTCTTAAAATGAAATCCGATGGTACAAAACGCTGTAGAACATATATCTGTTTCCAAGGTGCTAAATGTGGGATTTTTTTCTTTCCCAAAAAATGTTTTTAAGGAACTCTAGAAACTACCACAGATAACCAACTTTGCTACTTTTTTCTGCTTTTGGCCTTCTTTGCAACAGCTGTAGAATAATTCTCTCCTTTTGAAAAATGCACACAAGACACAAAGATTGTGCTCAACAGGTTTACTCAGACTGGACTCTTAAATGCTCAAGAAAAAGGCACAGATTAAAAGAGACTCTGATGACTCTTTTGAACACAGCAAATGGGATGTTGTTTAGAAGAAAAAAAAAATACTGCTGTGAATTGTATGGGCTGAAAAATTCAAATATTCTTTCCTGTTCCTAATTATTGGCCTTCATTGAAATGGAATTTAAATTAAATTGTATAAACATATGAAATAAAGTCTCAGTATTAGGAAGTTTTTCTTTTGTTTCCTCTATGTACAAATCTTAGTATACAATTTTTACTTTTCATTATACATTTACTACATACTCTTTTCCAAACTGTGTGAGAGCAACTGCAAAGTATGTGTTTCAAGAAAATGCTTTGCATTTGGAAAGAATCCACCTGCTTTCTTGGCTGGCAGTGCCAATCAGAATTTAGGAAGAGATGACAGGTTAGGGAGAGCATCCACTCAAATGTAATCATCCTCTACCGGTTCACCGTTGACATCACAGTAATGGATGAAGATAGCCACCACACGCTGGAATACACCTTTTTTCATCTGACGCAGTTCAGAGATCTCTTCTCCTATTGTTTCCATACAGATGTCTGCAGACAACTGTCCTTTCCTTCGGGGTGCATAAATAGTAGCTGTGGAAGGCACATAAGAACAAAACCTAGAATCTTTCCTATAAAGAAATTCACAAGCAAATCTGTTTTGCATTAAATGAGGTAAGTCTTGGAAAACAAAGCAAACAGAAAAATCTTCCATTGAGCATCCACGTTTAAGGAACACTATTCAAGCAGAAAAGGTATTCTGCCTTCCCCATATTTAAACCTTTCAATAGCTCCAGTACTCATTTAATGTATCCAAAGTCCGTATGTCTGCAAGTGAAGGGAATCTCAGCACATAACAAAGCCTTCCCCCTGAGACTTACCTGATTGCTTGCATGTTATCCATTTCAGTGATCACTTAAATGTTTTATAAACAAGAGCAAATAAAGATAAACCAGCAGCCTTTTCTTTATTTTTTATGGCTTTAACATCATGTTTAAACTAATTACTCCTTTAAATCAAATACATATCATTTTTTTGTAATTTAGACTACATACTGAACTACAAGCATTAAGTCTATGAATCAGTTTAAAATAAAATTAAAATAAAATTAAAAAAATCAGAGAAAGGTATAGTCAAAAAAGATTTCTTCCTCATCCTCTTGAGCTTCACCCCCTTGAACTGGAGCTAGATAAGAGTATCCAAAATTATGTCAATTAAAAATACCTCTAATGAAGGAGATTCCGACATTTTCCTAATTAAGTAGTGGAAGAACATAATTTTCCCTGCTACCAAGCAAGGTTCTTAATTGAGATCTAGGAACTAACCACTATAATATTTTATAAGACAAGCTCCTAAATAGAAAGATCCATATCTATCCTAAACTCTAACCCACATCACCTCTTTCCACAGTTTTCAAGTCCAGTTCTTTCCTTTTTTATCTCCCAAGCTTCTGTGAGTCTCAGTTCTCTCTGCTAGGCTCACTTCACCCGACCTTAACAACCTTTCATAAAGCAAAGCCAGAGGCAGTAGTCCAGCTCAGCTTTCAGCAGTAATGCCAGGAAAGTCCACAGAACATGAATTGCTGGGACTACACATAACAACATTAGTTTTGTGTGTGTTTCAAATGCACTCATTCTCCTGGATATGACAACACCCCCCCCCATTTTTAGGCTAAGCACCAGAGTGGCTCCCTCATTTTGTCAGTATTGGGGGTCTCCAGCTGGTCGATGCACTGTTGTAGTAGAATGGCCCTCTCCTCTGCTAGACCTCCTCCTCACCCAGCTCCCAACACTGCTACAAGGAGTTCATTATAGTCTACCAAAAATAGCATAAGAATTAGAAAAGTGAAAAATAAAGGAATGCATTGTCAGCTTCGGACCAAGTAACAAGTTAACGTTCTTTGAACAGATCAAAAAAAAGATTACTCACTTCTCTCATCATCCTCAAAGTCATATCTAGCATAGCTGTTTGGCTCTGCTGTTCTCAGTGATCTTAACCATGGGAAGTCAGTAATCATCGAGTAAGGGGCACCATCCACAATGCCTAGAAGACAGACAGGATGAAGATATGAAGAGGACAATGTCCAGCACTCTTCTTCAAGTAAATGTCACTGATATCACATAGATTGGTCATTCTAATACAGGAAAAGCACCTCCTCATTTCAATTTCCCCCACTCTGTGCCAAAGGTCCCCCACTTTCCTCACAAGAATTATTATTCCTGTCTCTTGTAATTTGATGCAAAGTTACTTACCTTAACAATAGACTGACCACCAGCTTTCAGCTCTCTAGAAACACTCACCTTCTAGAGTGTAAATATCTCGTCCCCAAGGGTACTTAGTGTATTTCTTCAGGTCTTCATCAGTTCGCGTAGCTTCAGGGAAGAACTCATATTTAATAAGCTCTCTAGAGAAAAGAAGGAAGAGCTTACAGCCAGTAGTGATAGGAAATGTGAAGGCAGCAGGGAGAAAAACCAAATGGGAAATTCTATTACACAACCTTTCCTTTAATGAGTCTGAATCCACAGAAACACTCCTCTAAGAACCTCACACAAACTCAATATGCAATCCCTTCGCTTTTGAGAGTAACCACAGAGAGTATGTACGGTTAGAGGAAAAACCAATTAAGTTACCTTTTAAGCATAGCTTTCTGTCTGTAAGGAACAATCCAACACAGCTGCAACTAAACAAAATTTCAAAAGTAAATCTGTTCTCTTAGTCATTTTAGTGAAAAACCAGGACAACAAAAACACTGGTTTAAGAGCTGGATGAGAGCCACTGTATACAATTCCCTGCTGCAGGGAACTCTTGCTCCTTAGTAAGGAGCCGATACTGATTGCACATCATCTTCCTCACCCAGAAACTAACATTACTTCTTGGAGTAAATCAGTCTTTCTCTTTTTTAATAAAAGAAAATATTTTTCAGATTCAAAGATATTCCTCAGCCATCCTGATTGCTTCAATGTTTGATTGCATTACTGCTGGATGGAACAGAACTGGAGAATTCTGCAGTATTTTTCATATGTTTAGGATTATTTAATCTATGTTTTGTATTACGTACATCTTGATACTGAAATTCTACATGGCACCATCTAGAATTCAACCTTCACTAGTCAACAAACTATTTTGGTGTTAATTTGGCTAACAGAATACAGCAAATCTACAGCTTGACTGAAGCTGTGGCTGCTGAATCAGGACTGAATACCTCTTGTGTAAAGTTACTGAAGGGCAAGTACTCACTGGTTGATATTTGCTATTGTGTCCATCCAGCTCCGAATGCGCACTTTATTGCGGACATTAGGTGGGTTACTGAATTCATGAATTATGCAAATGTGGTATGGATAAGGGCCACTAAATATCTTTTGCTCGAGAGTCAACGTGTCAACCTGTGAAAGGCAGCAAACAAAGACTTGTAACCAAGAGAAACAAAAAGACAGGATTTTAGAGTCAAGAGCAGACATCTACCAAATCCCCCGAATTCTGAGGGAACATGTCCTGTGAAAAGAAATTTTAACAGCATACATAATCAAATATATGATTAAGCAGGGTAAAACTTTATTAGTGCAGCTTTGCCAATGAATCTTCTCAAGTAGTGGAATTTGATGGGAAATGTCTATTTTCTGATGAGTTTCACAACTCCAATATATAAGTAAATTTTCATAAAATCAGATAATGGTCTAAACTACATTCACTTTCTCAGAATTTGTCTCTGGCTTCAGGGGAGGGGTTGGTTTTTGGTTGGGGGGGGGGTGTGTTTTTGGTTTGGTTTGTTTTTTCCCCCCCTAATATTCTTATCACTGTCCTCTAAGAGCTAAAGCAAGAGATCTGGTTTCAAAGAAAATCTGGCTTTTATATCAAATCAGCCTTTCCTCATTGGTCAGGCAAACCAAGCCAGAGAAAGCGTTACTTTGCATGAGAGAAGCAGCATCACAGTCTAATACAGAATGCTCTGGTTAGGGCGATAAAGTAAAAAAAAAAAACCAAACCCACATTCCAGATCTAAAATTAAGCCCTCTTAATTACTTGTCAAATGACCTCAACAACTCACTAAATGTCAGTGCTTACACCTCCTACACATAATCTGGGGGAGGAAAGGGTGGCTCCCAGTACCACAGCTGTCTTGCAACACTGTTTAGCATCAAAAGAGGATGCAGCTTTCAGCAAAGCAGTATTCAAAACACTAACTGCTGTTACTAAATCTAATAGGACATGGGTTAAAGATCAGATACCTATGCCTATGTCATGCTTCTGCTTATACATAACTACAAGTTCACTTAGTAGCATCCAGGTTCTTACAGTTACTTTCACTTACTCAGTTTGGAATTAATTCAGTGCATTGTGATTTTTTACAGTATCTTCTAATGTAATGAATATTGGAGATGGTAACATTAAGTCTTAAAATTCAGTATCATCCAAGTTCCAGTTCTGCAATAAAAGCCTTGATAGGCTGAAGTTTTAATAAACATGTTTCTCAGAGTTGTGTTATTGTAACACTTACATTTCTTGCATTAATTGAAAAACACATGAAGCCAAGAGTGGTGAAAGAATATAGACAGAACTTTACATCTGTTCCTGATTAAATGAAAGTTGGCTGTGTACCTGCTGCATTGGACGAAGATAAATGATCCGGTTTCTTTCCGGTGGCATCCTGAGAATCTGATCCAGAACCTGATCCATGTTTAACTTCTTGCACTGGGCATAGTCAAACCGATTGACAACTGGTGCATTTTCTACTTTTAAGTGTTTCAATACACGGCACCTTGTAGCTATAAAATAGCAAACGAAATTATTAAAAGAAAAGAAATAGAATACTCAAAAGATGTTAGGAGCCTCCTGTCAGAGATTTTCAAAGCCAACTGTTTCAAAAGAAGGCAAACAAGTAATGTAAGTAACAGACAATTACTGAAATAGCTGGCAACCTAACTATATTGAAGAAATAGACGAGCTGTTCATTTCTTCCACATTATGATCAAACTTTTAATTTGTGAACTTGTAAGAAGAGTCCTTTTAAAAGGCCATGTCAAATTTAATCTAACAATACCCTTTTTCTCCCTTTGTTTTCTTTCACAAAGCCCCGTGAAATGGTCTGTGGATTGCCACAATTGAAAACCACTGATTTCAAAATCAGGTCAAACAGAGTATTGTGAACCCGCACAATGTAAACTAAAGCTATTTCCTTTCTAGTAACACTGCTCATGTAACCAAAATTTAATTCAAAATTAATGTATGTTCTGAGAAGTATTCTGAAATAAAGAAATAATTTCTTCATTCTCTGCTAAATAGAGATACCTTATTTCAGAAGAAAAAGTGTTATTTAGTGTAGATGTTGCAGAAAACAATAAATGACCCAATGCTTCAATATAGGACTAGTCATACACCCTGGCATGAGTATCTAATGCAGCCTAAGTGCCATAATTTAAAACAGATATTTATCATGTCAAGCAGGAAAGTATCATCATGTCAGTTAAATAATCTATGGAGCAAGAAGAAATGAGAGAAAAAACAAGGTACTCCGAAACTTATTTAATCAACTTCCAATTATTGTATTATCACTCCTCAGTGAACATCTCATCTTCTTAACTGTCATATAATTTAATCTGTTGACTTTCAGATACTAATCTTTATTAAACCTGTTACAACTTATAAGGAAAGAGACATTCAAACTGAGAAGCAGTGATATTTGGTGTTCTAAGCATCAGCCTGACATGCAGCAAAGCAGCTGATAAATACAAAACAAGCAGTGGATTGACTTTAATTCTTTCAGAAATTTCTAATAATGCCAGATGGAGGAGGTATGCATGACATTAATCACATACCATGTATGAACATCATTTTGGGGCAGTCTTTCAGTACCAAATCTGTTATTCCACAGTTGGTCAACGTGATTCCAACAAGGTTTTTGGATTTCAAAGTCAGTACCTGGTGAAAATTTCGGAAAAACAGAAATAATCTATGACAGGGTAAAAACAAAGAAAAAAATTTAAATTAACTGTATTTTAAAAGATACTCCCAGATACAGAAGGATATTAACTGGATACTAATCAATGTAATACAGCTCCTATTCGCAACAGGTACTTGAGATGACTAGGTTACTCATGGCAAAGAGAAAAAAAAAAAAAAAAAACTTTCCGCTGATCAGCAACATCATGAAACGACAAAAACAACTTCACAAGATTATAAGAGCAGTCATACCAGAAAGCACCATTTCTATCAGAAAATCTAAGTATCATCTGTCAGGAACTTCAAATTCTCTACTATTTAATTTCTATTTTTCAACCACAATGACAAAAATTCTGGAGAATAACATTTGTTTAAACACAGAAAGAAGGTATGGCAGAGAATCATGGTTTGAACTTCCCATACCAAAGTATTTTACCAGTGGTATGTCAGAGGAAAACCTCACACGGCTGGTTCAAAATTATATACATACCTTAGTTAATCCTCTATGTCTACCAGTGTTAGAAAAATAAAGCATGCATCAAGCTCAAGCAGAATCATTTCCAGTAGCATGAGCACAAGGAGAATGTAATAAGAAAGGATCTTTTTGCGCTTTTATCTGAAACTTTATCACTAAAAATTCTAGCAAAATTTAGCAGCCCAAGAATAAGGCTGACCAATTACACAAAGATGACTAAACAGAGTTCTATTAAAACAAAGCAAACACATGTAAAGAGAAAAAAGAAGCAATTCTGCAATGGGTTCTTCCAGTTCCAGCAATTTAAACTGTTTATTGTAACTACAGATAGTTAAAAAAAAAATTTAAAAACCTCACAATACTGTTCTTTCAAAGTGGCATATTTTAAGAAGAAAAATCACATACGCAAAAATATCTTTTATGCTAATTACAAAAGCTGTAATGCATCCTAGGAACCAGAAAAAGCTTTTGTGAATGTGTCCCATAATATATCTTAAACCGGCAAGGCTAAGTTCTTCACTGGACAGAAAGGGAAATATAAAGGCAGGCAGGTTCCTCTACAGCAGAGCTCAGAAGAGAAGCTTAAGTTAGATGTTCAGAGTCACCTTCTGAAGCAATCTCATGCTCAGCTAGAATATGAGCCTTGGGTAAACAGCCTCAATACAGTGAAACCAGACCTTGCAATTTCTCCTCCCATGACTGATCTTTACTGCAGAAGAATTAACTTGTGTTACTTACATAGCAGAGAACCTGCAAAGTAACAGCTGAGTTGCTATGTCTAGAGGCAATCACATATCCCATGTTTCTTTTAACAGTAGTAATCTATGCTGTCATTTCAAAAATAAATGCCAGAGAATAAATTTTTTCACATCAAGAAGGACACTGTGGGAAGGCAGGACTTCACGCAGCACTATAGCCATAAGCATCTGACAAACTTCAAGTTTAGCTTTAGCTTACACTTTGCTCTTCTCAGGTCAGTCAGAGTATCACTGCACCTAACAGAAATTTCCTGTACCACAGTCAGCAGCAACATCAGTTATAATTCATCTGGCTCTACACAGAAGACAAGCTTGTATAATTACATCACTGCTCATGAGCATCCCCAGCTGACAGACCTGTAGCAAATGAAGAAAAAGACCTTACTTGAACATGATCATCTTCAATAACTGGATCACTTGTACTTGTGGACTTGTCAGCTGTCCTTTTCCGCTTTGTGGTTTGCCGTGGCTTTGGCTTAGCCACCTCTAGAAACAGAAAACCAGAAAAATCTTTTCTCTGTTTACCTTTCAGGATAACAACAGAGGCATTCCCTAGCTGAAAATGTCCAATAAGAACATACATTTCTTACATAAGCAGATCAAAATACCTGTCTGGCTTGAAAACAACTTTATCTCCTTTCCTTGCACAAAAACCACTTTCAGGTTTGTTGCTCAGAATCATTCATACTAAATAACTTGGGGCAGGGGGTGGGCTGTTTATAGACGAAAACACAGGAACGCTGAACCTACAAGTTCAACATCACAGAAAGATGTGGAGCCAAGAAAAGAACATAAGGTGAATTGTTAGGTTGCACTTGGTTCTCTGCAGCAAACAGAACATTCTTGACACATACAAGAACCAAAATAGCTTTAATGTTTTAAAATAGTAGAAATAATCTCAAACTACTTGAAAGTCTGCTCTTTGTAACTGTCACTAAGTTTTTCCTAATATTGCAAAGGATGCCCAGGTATAAAATACTTTAATGTTCCCAAGCTGCTTCTTACTCCATTTCATGCACCAGTGATAAATTCCTCCTTGATTTAAAAGATGAGGCTTTGAAAAGAAATTATGATAGATGACCACCCTTACTTGCTACAGTAAGGGAAACAAGATGCCCTAGAACTAATTTTCTGTGATTAATGGATCAAAACGAGAAATTATTTTACTAAAATTAAGCTTCCTTTGACTTTTTTGTTAAAACATATGGCACGTTCACAAATATTTACAATCAAGATAGAAGTGTGAAATATTAGAGACTTATATGAACTACTCCATGCTATACTACCATTAACATTAAAAAATGCCTCTTTTCCTACTTAACATCATCAAATTCCACCAATACATGTAAACTATTATTTAACATGTGACATTCAGTGGGCCTATGAGCTTCAGAATTCAGACTACTGCTTTAGGGGATCCACAGGTTGAAAGATGTAATATTAAGTACTCAACTTGTGGCACCCATTAATCATCATCACCAGGGAATTTTTTTGCCAGTTCCTAGAGTATCTACAGATAGTGAAACATTTCGTAGCTATATTATAGGAAAAACTTTCCAATTCTGTGCTGAATTGTTCAAGGTGCAGCCCAAGGCGAAGAGATCTTTGCAGAGGGTTTAACATAACATGCATTTTAAAATGTGAAAAGTTTGCTTCACTACAAATGCAAACTAAAACAAGTTTAAAAAAACCCAGATTTATTACAACAAAAAGTGTGACTTACATTTTTACTGAAGTAAAAATCAAAATTATACACTTGAGTCGCTCTTTAGCCAGCTAGTCTGTGGTGATTATGCTTTTAAAGTTTCACTGTCTTTAATATTTGACTTGTTCCACTGTTTAATATGAGTAAATAATTTAAGAGAAAAAAAAAATACTTCTACTTTCAAACATAGGTTTGTTACAGAAGCCAAAACCCACAATGTCATTTATGCTAGAATAATAGAAAGCAGTCATATTCATAGCACATTTTTAGATTATTTATGAAAAAACATTTCCAACTCTGTAACAAAGGATTTTCAGGTTATACTCTAACGAGTTGTATATCCTATCCTAGTGAAGAAAAGCACTGTAACAGCCAGGCAGAAGCAGCCTACTGTCCTATGAATTAAATACAGATCTAAAAGATAAAAATGACACATCAAGTCTCATATTCTGCCTCAAGCATCAGTTAATATCTGATGCTTCAAACAGGAAAATAAATGCATAAAGACATACACATAACCATATGGAGCTAGGAAAACAGTTCTGATTGCGTAGGCTAAATATAGGAAATAGTGAAGACTTTTTTTCTCCACGAGCAGAACAGATCTTTTTTCTGACTAACTGAAACACGAAAACACAGATACTTTCAGAAAGATACCCTAATTTAATACTTAGATCTGGCTGACTTCACTTCATGTTTTGGTAAAGAATGAGGATAGAGAGGAAATATTTTCTTTTTATTTTCTTATAGACTAATTACTAGTTATAATGGAGCAAGGTAAAAAACAGACATTTTAAATTTAATAGCAAGATCATTTTTTCAATCTGAGACGCAGCTAGCTACAGAACAATATCCTAGGTAATTTAGGTTTCATTAACACTTGGAAACATTAAGATAAACTGGAAAGACACTAGGACATACTGTGTTTGAATCATTCCATGTTAACAGAGATATGAATTCACCATCAATCTTTTCTACCTCCAACACATACACTAGCACATTTCATTTTTCAGTTTCAGTTCACTTGCTAGATATTCTCAGCAAAGAATCCTGGATATATGAGGTAATTATAAAGTATGCTATGCCAAATTAAGATGATTATTTTGGGAAGCAAGTATATTTGGAAGAAACAGCAAGTTCCCCTCTCACATCTATTCTTTCCTCCCAACATTTCTGGCTTCGTTCCAGCCCTTCAGGATTTTGATTTTATTGTTTTGTTTATCTTACATGATGTGAAGCATGAACCTGTTTAATAAAAAGACAATTTTCAACAAGTTTGATCACAACGCTTTAATACTTGGAAGCAGAATCCAATATGCAGGTGCAGAAGTTTGGCTCAATTATAATTATGGCTTGCTTTATTGGTTGATAAAGTATCAGTTTTTAACTTTTGCCCTCTGGTTAAGATCTGAGCATACCTGCTGTCTTCTTCCTTTTAAAGGGAGAATTTTAATGGGGGAGACAGTCTTATGTTTCAATGAATAACAGCCTTCACAGGAAGAGAGAAGCTGTCAAAAGAAGTTGCATTTGGTTTTCAAATGAGTAAATCAAACACTGTTTAGTATGTAGGGGTAACACATACAGAAATACTTGCATGGAGAAAAAAGTCACTGGCAGTCTTTCAGAGAGATGTTGTTTTAGCTAGCTGTGGCAGTGAAGTCAGCCATTTCTGTTCCATCAATATTCTGACCGTCTGACAAACAACTTAGTTTTAAATTATTAACCAATAAACTTCACGTTTAACTTCAGTATTATCTGTGGGTGTTGCAGCTGTTCAATACTGTCTCATGCCAGCACAGTAGTTTACACAGAAATTAATATATGCATATAGGTCATACCTGACTCTGACACCAGAGGGACATGGGACAGCCTGCTTCTAGCTCTTGTTAGTGGTCGGCGAGGATACTCTTCTTTATACTCCATCTCACAGCTCCTTCGCTGTGAGCCTATGCTCTCCTCCTCACTGGCAGGCCCACAGGCACTCCCACTAGTCCTCTCATCACTTGTCTCTCCTGGAGGCCCACAGTTTGGGGGAGTCCTAAGTGCAAAATCTGTCGCAGTGCTGTTTGGTCCATTCCTGCAGGCTCCACTCGTGGATGGGCATTCCCCATCGCAACATCCACTAGTCCTCTGCTGTGCATCCTGTGGCTTGTAGCAGGAACACCTGGAACAAACAGAGCTCTCCTCAGTCTCTCTCTCGCTGGAACCTTCACTTTTACAAGGCGAGCAGACACACTGCCTGGATTCATCTCCAGTTGCTGGACTGGTGCCAGCAGAGTGGCTATTAGCTGTCTGTGCACAGTCAGGGCTAGGAGAAACAGCACTGCAGGAGCTGGATGTTCCCGTTGATCCTGTAGCATTACTGCAACCAGGGTAAGAATCTTTGCTTTTGTTCCTTTCAGGCATGTCACTTGCTGCTTTCATGTCTGCTTTAATCTGCTCACTTGTTACTTGACAACCTTTCTCACAGCTGCTTTCCTCAGTATGGAACTGCTTTGTCTGGCCCACTTGGCTGGTACTACATCTCTTCCGCAGTGGTGTCTTGCCTTTACCGCTCACTGTAAGAGTTAAGTGAGAGAGAACAATGAGACAACCTAATACACAGTTTAAATAAATGCTGAGTCTCTGTTAGAGACTACTTAAAACAGAAGACAGCCTAGAGGTCAATGACAAATCTTGTCAGGACCACGCTGCTACTCACACATTACAGGGAATGAATAACATTTGTAGTAGCTGCTGAATTCTCTGTAATGTCTTGCAGCTATTTTTGTGGTGACGCGCTGGGGTGTTTGTCAATAAGTGAGACACATATTTGCCAGAGAGGCTAATATTTTCACAAAGCAGCTAACTGGTTAAAAAGGCCAAAGCACAAAAATATGAAAAACACACTGATAATAGGCTTCTGTTTTCTTAAATATGAGGGACAAATCTGAGGAATTAAATAGTAACATAGACAGGACTAAAGTTTACGCTTTCAATAGCAATCCGTAGCTCCCCCTCCTGGGTATGGAAAGCGGTGTCAATAGGCAACACTAGTGTCAGTTTACAGATGAATAAAAAACCATACCGAATAGCATACAAATCACAACTGGAACTTAAGATCTACTGTCTTAATCCTCTCAGCTAATTACACTAAACCAAGCCTGAAAAAAACAGTATTGGCACTACAAAGGTTTATGCACGTTGTCTCCAAACACAGGTTATTTCAACCCTCAAACCAGAACTGACATCTACACTGCAAGAACAGCACTGTACAGATTTCCAAGCTGAAACTAGCAGTCTTGTTGAAATGTACTGAAATGAGAGGGAAGCTGATGTGTAGGGAGCATGACAGTTACAACAGGAAGATACTTGATCCATTACAGCTTTGATATGTCCTAGGCTTTGCAGAAATTAAACCAGTACCAGACCAGTACATTTCTCAGTCTTTCACAGTGCAGGATTTTTATGTTAACTGCTTAGCTAAATATTCATTAAAGCTCAATAATGTGTGTATTTTATCTGTCAATTACTTATAGATCACAATTTGACTTCGACTTTCTCTTTTCTTGCATATGTATAAAACTACTTCACTTAGAATACAAACTACAGGAAATAGCATGTCATCTCTTTTGCTGGAAAGGCCATACATCATGTGGCATCAGACCCGGGACTCGTACTTAATGTCACAGATGTGCAGCTTATAGCTGTAAACTCGAAAGACAAGGAATGTCCTTTTCTATGTCTCTCTATAGTTGCTGTACTACCATGAAGTTTGGGGCCTCTGACTCTGAATGAGTCATAATAATATATACACAACTAATAATAATATATATACACACGCTATAATAGTAAGTGTAGTTCAGAAGAGAAGAAGACAGTACTGAACATCACCCTGAGAATTCTAAGTAACCTCCAAAGCTCCCATCAAAGTAAAGTTTATCTTAAAGTGCCTCCTTCAAGACACTCCCACAGGGTCTCCATGAACCAAAAGATGGTTACAACTCTCATGCATTTACCCCAATGGTCACATTTTGTTTCAGCAGCAATGCTTTGACAGATGAATCATGTAGACAGCATAGCTGCAAATTTGGCTTCGCAGACATGATAAATTCTGTGTACTTGGAAATCCAAAAGAGAAGCTGCAGGTTTCTGCATGCAAAGCAGTGCAACACCACAATTTCTGTGTTTCTATACAGTGACTATGTGATTGCAGCTCAGATAGATGTCTCCTTACACCTTCATTCTAGACTTATAACAGGAAGAAAAGAGCAGGGGACAAACAAACAAGCATGTCTCTTACAAAGCTAGAAATAAATCTCAACAAGATGGAAAGACTGAAGCTTAAGAATAAATTTAGCTTTACAGTGCCCAGGAACCGATTTGTTCCACACCTGAAGGTTCTCTAGTTTCCACTGGATCTCTGCTTTTCTCTTCTCCATCTGAGTAATTCTGTGCAATGCTGCTAGAGATGCAGGCTCTTGAAGTCCCCATGTTTTCTTCTTCGTCCTCACTGTCTGAATCATGGACAGTAATAGGTGCTGCTTTTACAACAGGCTGAATGCCACTTGGTCCTGAAAACAGTAGAAGAATGTCAACAGTTCATGTAAAAATAAGCCAAGCATGGATTAAAGGACTGAAGAACTTTTAGAACTGCTTGAAAAAATAACAAGAGATTAATTTTATTCAATTTAATCACCCATTCTGTGGCTCCCTCATTAAAATTCAAATACGAGAAGAGCAAAACACTGCATTTCAGCATTAAAGCATTCTAGTTTGGAAGGGGAAGAGTGTCACAATCTAAGACAAAACACAGGTTTTCTGTAACATTTCTCTGCTTCAGAATAGCTTAAAGGGTCTTCCACAATAGTAAGAGTAACTGCACAACTACGTATTATAAGCAGTCCATGAAACCACCACCACAAAGACAGAAATGTCGGTCAGAACATCTGCGATTATCCTTCTAAATCCCACCACTACAAGTGGGAAGAAGCATGAATTACCCAGCTTCAGTAGAAACGTGCTTTATTAGTTACCTCTCTTGGCTACTAACTGAAGGCATGAGCCAGTCACAATGACCTATCTGCCTGTGAATAACACAAGAAATGAAGTTATATAATCTTTTCAGAAATTATCTTGAAAAAGTGAACAGATCCAGCATACGTGTATGTTACTTCATGTTGTTGGCATATTTAGTAGAAAGTTATGTTGTCCAACAAACAGTGGCTATAAAAGAAATCAAGACTGCCTTATGTCACACTAATGTGTGTCACTAATGATGTCACTAACACAAATTAAATTAACACTGGAACAAGTTGTTCCGGCTTGAAACAAAAAAAGGCAAAAAAGAATCCACGTGCTGCAGTGAAAGAAGCAAGGCCATTAACACCAACAGAAGAACATGACAAGCTCATTCAGGTCTTCTGAATCTTTTATTATATTGGGCACAAAAATAAGGCTTTAAGATCAAGATATTTTACTCTATACGCAAAAGAAAATTGGGGACTGTAAAACAGACTTTAAAACAGAATAAATTTCTTCATTGTAGTAAGCTATGCTACCGTCATCCTTCCAAATACACTAGACAATCCAGCTGAAGAGAACCAACCAAAACCAGACTTATACAGAAAAATTTAACCCCTCAAGAAGGGGATACTAAAAGGTACTTTCTTTCCAAAACCAGAGTTACCTGCTTGCTCTTCGTCAACCTCCATAGGAACAACAGCCTGGCTGTGAGCCGGGAGCTCATTCTGGCCCTGCCCAGCAGCCATCCCTTCTTCCTGTGCCACCTCCTCCATCTCATTCAGTGCTGAAAAGATTAAGATGAGGTCAAGAAGAGGAAACAGAAGGAACAGAGCCCATAAAAGCATACGAGGAATTCAACCAGCACCCACAGAGTCAGAGAATCATTGAGAATTAAGTAATAGCTGCCTTGATTTCTTCAGTGAGCCTCTAGGTTGCACAAAGTCTCTCACAGATTTGTTCTACATCTCTTCAGCCAAGGCCCAAGCCTAACTTTTGGGGTCTACTTCTCCCAAATTTTCCAGTCCTCCTCAAAAATCTTGTTCTACTGCAGTGAGCAGCATAACCAGGATTTACATATGTTCCCTCCAATGACTTCTGCCTTTGCCCGGAAAGTTTAAAAATATATCATCTGACACTGTGATGTACTCCCAGCTCTGACCAGAGGAGCCTAGAAGACACTTCACACTTCCACAGATGAGTATCACACTGAAACTCTACATTGCTACACCTTTACTGACATATATCACCGAATTGTAATGTGATTGTAACAGCTATTAGATAGAACACAAAGATAGCTTTTATCACACAGGTATCAGAGATGTGCAGACAGCCCTCAGAAAAGTTACATACCATGAACTAAAAAGCAACAAGTTTTCAATGTATATTCCTATCTTCTCTAGGACCCTACGGAAGAGGCAATGCAAATAAAATCACTCCCTACAAAAGGTTCACAAAGATCAGAGATTACCCTCAGCTGCAATCTGCTGCTCTTCTGCTTGACCATCTTGCCGCAGCTCATTCTCCTCATTCTGGTCATTTGCATGTTGGTGATTGTTGTGGTGGATGTTTGGATTATTGTTATTCTGGTGGTTATTGTTGTTGTCATTGTCATTGTTAGAGTTCTGATTGCTGACTAGGGCAGATGAGACGCCAATTCCTGTGCCTGCACTTAGGCCCACACGAGCACAACCCTGAAAACAAAGGGCAACTATTAATATTTGAAAACATGGACACATTATATCGACAACATATCCTAATGCCAACAGAAAAAGTGTTCTGTCAGTAGTATCCAGGATGACAGAACAATACGCACATGAAGAACAGGGAAATTGTCTCTAATACTTCCTTATGCTACACATCGCAGGGATCCATCTTAAGTTTGGCAACCCAGAAAACTTAAACTCTGTTAAACTCCTAATGAAAGGGAACTCCACAAAGCATATAATCTTACTTTATTAAATTATATTTCATTTGCTATGAGATCACATTACATCAACACAAATAGCAGACTATATAGTCTTCCCAGAACACAGTAGCCTCAAGATAGAATTAATGATCAAAGAAAGCAGGTGTTTTTACGTAGGCAGTTTTCATTATATTACAACAGCTGTTACAAAGATTTGTGTTACAGTGTGGGAGAGGGGACCACATGAAGAAGTAAAATTCCTAAGCATTGAAAGCACTCAAACAGGGGAACAGTACCCCCATTTCACCTACTACAAAATCATAAAAATCCCTTCACATTGTAAACAGATCCCTAAGTGTGGAAAAAAAAATTCATATAAAAAGCAGCAGCAAAATGAAGTAGCAGCAGAGACCTCAACAGAAACAGAGAATCAATGTGAGTCTTATTTCCCAGTCATATATTCATACAAGACCATGCACTGCCACTGCTCCCATCTGCAGAAGCAGCATCATTCTCCCTAAAATATCATGATAATAGCAACTACAAACCAAAGTAATTTATTTACCAAGCTATTTAATTAATTACAACTTTTAAAAGAATGCATAACAGCTGGAGCTCACCATATTTCCAATGAGCTGGCAACAACAAAAAGCAAAACCATTCCCTGGCTCACCTTAGGAGGTTCACGGAACATCTGGTCCAGAGAAATAAATTCTAAGCTTGGCAATAACTCAATGAACTGACTAAAAGAATCTAGCTTTATCGCATGGCATCGCACCAGAGTGAGGTCAACCAGTCGGGTCCACCTTGAATGATCTGTGGAAGAGAAGAGATGAATTTCCTGAAGGATTCCTATCTCTCTCACTTTTTCATTATACCCTTTTCAGATCTGAGAGTAGGCATCTTCTGTATCTCCATTTTAACTGTTACCAGCACCATTACGGTTCCAAACCAAACATCATCTACTGTACTTACTAAGAAATAGAACAAGCAGTACTATGAGCAGAAAAATTCTGTTTTAATCACAGCAATTCATATAATATCTCTAAAATTTCAAAGGTGCGCAATACCTGTGATCCAATTATTTGGGTTATGTAGATGTGGGCAGTTGTAAATGACCAGATACTTGATGCAAGAAAAAACTTCATTTACAGCTTTCATACCAATATCTGTAATAATTCCCGGATTTTCAACCACATCAGCCAAGCCATACTTCACCAAGTCTCCATTTGTCATTTTACCTATGAAAAAGATAGTAGCAAACACAGCAGCAAATTTCAGAAACTTGCCTTTTATAGCATGATTTTTCTAACTCCCTATTTTAGTCCAATTTCACAAAATGGATCAGATTATTACTTCAGTTCAATAAAGCTGAGACTTTCCCAATTTCAGTAAGAGTTTCAGGAAGTGAAGACAAACATATTTGGCTGTATGGGATAAGCAGACTCAATACGGGTATGTTAATATTCTTTCTAATCACTCTTAGAGAATGATTGAAAACACATCAACTTATTTAATCCTTATATTTGTCAAATAATTTATGCATATAAAAAATGTCTTACACTGTAGTAAAAACTCATCAACATATCCTAGATGAAGAGTTTCAAACTGTGGAAATTCCAGTTCAGCCATCTTCAAAGCAGAAAAAACACCATCTTTGGTCAAGGAAGGCTGGATCCGCACTTCATGCAACCTGAATGCAATTAAGAATTGTTCGTATTAGAAGGCATGCCAAAACACAATTGCTATAGAAACCACTCAAGAAGATGCCCTCTTGTAATAAAATGAAAATATTCTTTCAACAACGGCAGGATTAAGAGGATATTTGTTGTATCTTTATGGCAGTATTTAGCAGTTACACAGCAATATAGTTGTGAGACTAACAGCACCACACTTTTCAGATACAGGTCTAAGGCGGCACTTTATGACACAAAGCGATTCAGAAACAGACCTAACTCCAGTTATTTTAACCACAGCATACTCTTGTTATGTAAAGTTTTAATGTCTATTCCTTAAATTTTTGAAGGCTGTTCTGCTTCTTCACATTCTTTGACTTCATTACTAAGATACTGACTTTGAAAAAGGACAAAGAGGGAAAAGAAAGATCTGAAGGCCCATACCTTCGTGCAGCAGTTATTATGAGGTAGCCAAGATCCACTTCAAGTGCATTCTTGCAAGCTCCCAGAACTATAGTGTGCAAATTCCTAAAACCACCTGACAAACAAAAAAACAAAAAAAAATTTCTTTCACTTCACTCACAGATCACAACCTTAAGCCTTACACATTTCCACCAGTGTTGTCTTGACAAGTGAATTAACAAAACACATCTTTTTTAGCAAATCAATAAAACACATATTTGCATGCAACTCCCCTCCAATCCTGCCAGTTCTACTTGCCAACAAATGCAACTGGAAGGTTAGCTTACCAGTCAAGAGTTAATTGCAGTTAAAAGATCAAAACAATACTCAATACAAAGCTATATTTAGCACCACAACCATAGTTCCAAACTTGATACTTTTAAAATAACAATCAAGAAAGTATATGCTACAGACAAAAAAGGTAAGCTTCACATGCTTCCAGTATTTGCTAATATTTTTATTTATTTAAGTATTAAGTTTCATACCTGATCTCCAGCTATCCTCTACCACATGCTGGATAAGCCCTCCAAGAAATGGAACACGAACCAGTTCTAAATGCTCCAAATTTCGAGCAGAAGCCAGGCCTGTCACTAGGGGAACATACTTCAAAGAATTTGTGGGTCCTACATAGAACAAACCAATACAGACAAAGAAGGCTGTTCACTTAACAACACTGAATGTATCACATTAAAGAATTAAAAAATGTCTACCTATATCCATCTAGATCAGGAAGACAACAGAACTACATAGCACCAAATAACGTACAGAAGAGGGATATGTTTCTATCCAACACCATGAATAAAACAATGACTGTTTTCAGAATCTTGTACTCTAAGCTTTAACAGAACTAGATTTCCTACATGTTAAAACATCCCCTCCATATATGAATCTCTCTTACCAGCACAGTTCCTCATGACAAAAGCACGTAAGCTGATACAAAGGAAATCTTTAAAAGGCTGTGGTTTGGTGAGTCTCACCCACTTCAAATAAAGGTGTCTCAGCATTGGGATACAAGGAATCTCAGGGACATTCACCCCTAATAATACATAAACAAACAAATATTTTGAACAAGCTTTAAACTATAAATGCTAGGATAAATTTCTTTGGATTAACATTCTGGCTTTAAAAACAAAGCCCTTTCTTTGCTATGTGGCATGTGAGAAAAGTTGTAAACATTTTAAACACAAGTTCTTCACCTCAGTTTGTCAACACAGTTTTTCAGAATTTGCCCTTTGGACCTGCTATCATATATACAGCAACTAACAATTCAAAAACGCCACATGCCAAATTACCTCTCTTAAAAAGAATTACAATCTTGCAGAGTTTCAAAGCCTTTAAATTCACCTATGTTGAAGCCAACTACTTCACCATCACCACACTCACCTACTAAGTGCAAAGTCTGAATTTTAGCTCCTATAGGAATTTTCAGCTTGTTCTCAGGAGGAATTGGAAAAGCACCATTACGATTACGAAACTTCCCTAAAATGTGAACTTGTGGCATGTATGTCCAAATAGCTTCCACCAGCTCTAAATGAGAGGTCTCAACACCCTGGATAAAAGGAAGCAAAGCAAATGCTCTAACACCAGTTCAAGCAACAACATCCTCTTAACCTTGTAAACTTTTCGATAACACAGTATACATAACGCAGTGTGTTATTTTACTTTTAATTTGTAGCAAGACTTGTCTTTTTAAAAGCACAGGGATCAGAGTTTTAATTCATTTCTGGACTTACGAGCACCTCTGATTCCCACTGGTGCAACTCTAAAAATAGTACTCATTTGCAAATATGGTCACAATTAACTGCTACTCTGTACAGCCAGATCTGATTACAAAGTCCAGGTCTGAATATGAAGCCCTGTAAGCAATGAGTCGCTGCCACATTTCTTTTGCTCTGTTAACATGCATCATCTCAGTGGCTGAAGGAGGTTCTCTCTCGAGTCTAACCACTCACCAGCAGATTTGGACAGGCCTGCAAAGCTTCTAAAACTCCAGGAATGCTGAAAGCTTCATGGCCACGGACTCTGCGTCTTTCAAGATACCTGGGATGAAGACCATAAAGTTGTTCAATGTCTGGCATCTTCCTCAGCAGCGTTAGGAAACTGGAATCAGTGAAACCTAAGATGACAACAACAGATTTGGTATTTGTGTGACAACAGACACCTAGCTGTAAAGGGAAAGCCAAATACATTGTTCTCTTTATAGGGTAATATAAATTCTATAATGTTGAATGATGTACTCAGTGAAGCAATAGCTTGTCTTCTACTACCAGATTCTAGAAATCATGACCTACATACTCTTCTGTCTTGAATTTTGCAGGCTTGCTATAGGTTTCCTTCAGTGGAGTTGCATGGCTACAGGGTTAACTATACCTTCTCCATTCTCAGATGAAGCACCTCTGCAGACTGTCAGCCTTTGTGTTTCTATCTTTCCTGGAATTCCATTTATCAACTACATGGCTCAAAAATGCCCAGCTGGATCAATTCTACTCAGTTCATCACTACTCGCCCCAGCTCACAATTCTCAAAGAAATAAGACAGTTTCTTAAAGCAAAGGATTATTTTATTCTAACATAAGACAACATATAAAAAGGATTTTAAACTAACAAGTTACCTGTACTTACATCTCTCTTAGGTCAGGTGTAACCATCTACTTGATACCAGCCCTAATAAATCTAACTTTGCAGATCCTCTAACTTTTAGAATTCACTCATTTTAGCTCTCTCCCCCAACAAATCCCAGCAGTGTAACTTAAATCCAACAGAAATCCTAATACTCACAGGGTTGACCTAGGTTGCCAAATTTATCTATTGATCTGAAGATGGCTTGAGGTGTGACATCAAAATTTATTTATTCTTACATTGTTAAGTGTTGGCAGATGAGTTGCTCTCTCATTCCATTGTATTTTTTCCTGCCTGCATGCAAACAGCCTCTTCTTGGATTAACCCTTGGATTAACTCCCTTACAATAATCAGACAAACACAGATTGTATTTACAGATTGCTACAGAGAATCCCCGTTTCAGCTACAGTAATATCCAATAAATATAAACACACACAGAGAGACAAATTTTCCAAACCACATACTCAAGGAAGCCACCCAAATCTCACAAAAGTCAAAAGGAATTAAACATCTAACTCCTTTTACGGCTTTTGAAAATTTAACCTGCATATGTCATTATAAATACCAGGATAGCACAGACAGTTTTGCTCAATACCACTTTAATGCCATATCTTGAGTGAGTGCATTACTCACCAGTGGGCATGTATTCCCACCAACGGCCTGCACATAGATCCACAACCTTCACTACTCGCAGATAAAGAGTGACTGCTTCCTTCAGCTTTCGGGACAGGCATTCCATGCACATGATATCCTGCAAGGGAAGGTACCTTTGGGAGAGGAAAAAACACCCCTCTGATTTATCAAAGGTGGATCCTTTTTGACTTTTTCCAAACTAAAGAACATCCCAAGCATGACTACACAAATTCATGTATTTCTAACATCTAATAACATTAATTCAAACAGATATTCAGACCGTACTCTAATAAAAGTGTGAAATTTTGCTAAGCAGAATGACTCACCAATTTTTGACATTAAATATAGAATATTTAAGGTACACATATAATATTAAAATGGACAGATGTTTTAGTTCTCTAATAAATACTGCTGACCAAACCATTTGCCACAATAGTTTCTACATGGTTAATTAAAGGTACTTTCATTTTCTAGTATACTAGCATGCTCAATTTGCAAACATTTTGGAGAGCTACTGTTTTTAAAGAACTTGTCGGTAAGGCATTATGCTTTGAATATAATAGGCATGAGTGAACATCTTGTAGAAGGACTGTACTGTAGGGAAGATTATACACTCATCCAAGTTCCCTTCTGCACACTATGAAGCAGATGCAACAATTTTAAAACATGCACCTCAACTATGTACTACTACCTGAGATACATCTCTGCACTGAAATCAATACTTAAACACTTGGTACCATACACTGGTAAACAGAATTAAATCACTTATTTATTTCTTCGTTATTCATCACATTCACATAAATTAATTTTCAAAGTATCCAAATGAATTCTAGGACTGAAAAAACATTTGTCATCTCTTTTTATTGGGTTTTTATCCACCAGTTCACTCGTGGTACATCTACACTTTCTGAATGTTATGTGACACAAGCACCAATACAGGTAAGATTGGGAAAAAACCAGAAAAAAATATAATAATAAACAATAAATTAACTTCTGACAAGCTGCTTACCTAAAGATGTGGCAAAGCACTTCATGAGAGAGTTGGTTCATGTAATCTTTTGGCTCATCAGCTTTGGTAGACTCAGAGTCTTCCCTGTTTGCTGAGCATGGTTTCACACTTTTCCGCCGAGGACCCATGTTTGCAGTGATTTCTGATGAAAGGAAATGTTCACAATGTTACGCAATTTCAGTGCAACTGAAAGAGAAAAGCGACAGAGAGTAGAGGAGGACACACCAGTTAAGCTTCGTTTACCCCAAAAAACAGCAAAATCTGCCAATAAAGACAAGCCCCACTACAGCTGAATTGAGTTAACTAAGAAACATTCTTCCAACAAGTTATAGTTTGCCGAACACATGAGGTCTCAGATATAACCTGAGGATTGTTAGATAAACTAGAAAGTCCCCCTAAGCCAAAGGAAATTGACAAAGAGGAAAATCACCACAGGTTTAATCAGAGATTAAATTCCTTTGCATGAATAAAATGTCTTCAGAGATATCATCCACACACCAGCCGATCAAGGCAAATCACAGAAAAGCTGTGCAGAGACCACAGAGGTCACCCAGCAAATACCAACTAGACATGTTCCAGTGAAAAACCAAGCCCAAAGCCTCCTAGCAGAAAAAGAAATAATTTTCCTTTCAGAAAAAATGGGCTCTTATTGATCATTCCCAAAAAATGCCCTATTAAAGGTCCTCAAACTAGCTCTTCTTAGAGGTTAGAATACCAAATAAAATATTCAGGTTGCTTAGTTAACAATCAAAGCCCAGAAAAACTGAAAGACCTTGCCCCAGCAGCAATGTGCAGGATATCCTCTCCTCTT